TGAACCAGGGGTCCTCAGAGACTTTCACTTGCCCCAGAAGTTGACTCGGGGTGATGCCTCCCCCAGGGGAGCTTGGCAATGCGTGGGGACGTGCCTGGCCATCGTGACCAGGTGGGCAGAGGCCTGGGACACCACAAGACCTCCTGCAACCCATGGGACACCCCAAAGCACAGAATTACCCAGCCCACATGTTTGCAGTGCCGCAGTCTGAAACCGGCCAGCCACACAAGACAGGGCATGGGGAGGCGCCCGCAGAGTTGGGGAGTTGGACAAGAGCAGAAGGAAGACGGGGTTGGAGGAGGTGGGGGGCAGAGGAAAACCCCTCGATCTAGAGCAGACAGACTTGGGCTCCTCTGACCAACAGGGTGACCTCTTGCAAGTCACCGACTCCCCGGGTCTCACGGTCCTCGTCGATTGTGTAACGGAGGCCCGGGGTCGGACAGCGGACAGGTGTGAAGAATCTAACCTCGCGCCTGGCACACCGGAGGTGCCCAGTGATGGAGGTGGGGTGCAGGGGTGTGGGCCGCGGTGGTCCCCATCCCCACAGAGCTAACTGAGCTCAGAATGCGAGGCGGCCTGGGGGGCCCTGCTTGGCTGTGCGGGGCCCAGGCCGGCCGGCCGTACTCACCGCTGTGGCTTTCCCCATCGCTGCTGAGATAGGGGTAGTACTCGTGCGTCTGGCGTGGGTACAGCTCCGTGTCGTAGGGAACCAGGTCTTCCGACGGCTGCTGAGAGAGGACCGTGTCAGGGCCGGGGCAGGGCGGGAGACCCTCCACGTTCGTGCTGAGTGCTCGGTCCACCCCCGCCTCTCCCGCTGGGCACCTCTCAGGGGCCTTCTCTCTGCCTGGGACTGGGACAGGTCAGGGGCATGGAGTGTGGGGAGGCGACGCAGAGGAGCTGAAGGTGGTGACCTCGGAGGTCGGAAGTCAAACGAGGACCAGGGCTGACAGTGAGGGGATGGCCTTTCTGTTCTCGGCTACTCCCCTCAACCACCTCCCTTACACTCAGACTCAGTCTCACCTGTGTGTGCCTGCTCGCACGCTCACCTGCTCACGTTTACACTGACGCGCCCCATCCCTCACACACACACGCACACCCCGTACGCGTGGACTCAGGACACGTCCACTCACACTCACTGTCACAGCCACCCCGCCCATCCCACACACACTCACACTTCGTAAGCTGACACTCCACACATCTGTACATCCACACCAAGGATCACACACACACACCATTGTACACACACCTGCGGACACACACCGTCGCATGGACTGACACACGTGCACTGACTACATGCCAGCCGTCCACACCCACGCTCACACCACAGCCTCCCACAGAGCCGCACACACAGCTCCCTGACCCCACCCACTCTCAGCCTGGGTCCAAGCCTCAGGCCACTGCAGGGACATGGATGGCCATCACGCCGAGCCTCCAAGGTCACCCAGGCGGGCTCTGGCACGGGGAGCAGGAGGACTTGGTCCTCTCGCTCTCTTTCCCAGTCCCTAACACCCTCCCTGGAATATTCTATGACCTCCCATTCCCCCCTCCACCAGCTTGTCCTCTTTCTCCCCTCCTCTTCCTCCCTTCTCTCCGTCTCCCCACACCCCCCGCCCCTGCTCACTGCAGGCACAGGGGCGCACCCAGAGCCTTCCCCGCAGTCGCAGTCACCAGGCCTCTCCCCACCCCCGCAGTCACCAGGATTGCACAACTCTCTCTCCGGCCCTCGGCCCTTGGCCCTCGGGCTGGGCTTGGGGAGCCAGCTGCCCTGGAGCTCCCCCTCTCAGGAGACACTCAGGGTGAGGGGTCTAGGGTGGGATCCCAAGCAGATCTACCTTCTGCCCAGCTCTGGATGGAGCTCAGGAATTGAGAGGTCAAGGGTCAGAGGCAGGGGGAGCAGGCCCCCTGGGCCTGGGGCTTCCTCGGGGTGGAGGTTGCTGTTCCTGGGGTAACCTCCCTCACACCCTGCCTGCCCCCACAACCTTCTTAGTCCCAGTGGGAGACTAGGGTGGGTGAGGGGGGCTGGCTGATGGCCCTGCCTGTCTAGCTGAGGAGGAGGCCCGGAGCCCAGCCCCAAGCCTGCCGCTCTGGGCTTCCAGGCAGCGCAGCTCGGCTGGCCGAAGGTGTCAGGCCTGTGGTGTGTCCAGGGGCCCTGAGGTCGGGGTGGAGCGGGAAAGGGAGCTCCCTCTAGGCCGGGAAAGCTGAGTCAGGTGGGCAGGCCCTGCCAAGCCCTTCCCGGGTCCCCATGAGCCATCCTGCCCCCAAGAGGACATGGGGTGGCAAAGGGAGAAGGGTCGTCCCAGACGGACACCGCCTAAGGCTGCAACTGTCACTGAGAGCAAATAGTGGGGACCTGCCCAACACGCTGTCCCTCCCTTCCCAGGGTCCTGTGGGACTCCTGGTTCTTCACCCAGACTAATCCCTGTCCTTACCCCAGGCTCAGCTCCTGCCCTAACTCCAGTCCCAAATTCAGCCCAGGTCCTACCCCAGCCCCAATCTCAGTCCCAGCCCAGCCCTCGCCCTGTCCTGCCTGTCCCCAGACCGGTATGGAGAACTGCAGTAGGCTCGGCTCCAGCCCAGCCCCTGCTCAGCCCTGGCCCCAAGCCCGCTGGTCCAGCCCCAGCCCCAGCCTCCCGGGGACCTGTGAGCCCAAGGCTCAGATCCTGTGGTCAACAATCATGTCCCCTGTGCCAGACCCCCGACTGGCCACTGGGCACCCCGAGTCCCGTCAGCCTCTGTCTCTAGGAACCCCCGGTCATAAGCGGAGACCTCTGCCTGTTGCCTCCTGCCCTCAACCCCTTCCTGTCCTGGGGGCTGGCTTCCCCGGAGCCAATCTCCCCATCTCCTCCTCCACCTCTCGGCCGCCGCCCTCACCATCCTCGGCCCAGCACCCTGCGCTGGAGCTCGGCCTACCACCAGGCCCGTCTATAAATAACTGTTCAGGCCCCACCGATCACAACCCCACCGTGGGCCCAGCCCTCAGCCCGCCAGGGCATGCTCTGAAGAAGCCAATGGCCCCCTTGCTGGGGCTCAGGCCGGAGCTCCCGGGAGGAAGCACCAGCTTCCCACTGATAGTGAGCCCAGAGGGCAGCGGTGGCTGGCGGGTGAGAGGGCAGGCCAGCCGGCGTCCCAGGGCCACGGGTTGGGCTGGTGGAGGAGCCCCGGTACTCACAGGGGGGACGAGGGGAAACCCTTCCATTTTGCACGCCTGTAACATCCAGCCAAGTTCCGAGCCGGTCAGGTCCCCTGCCTCGATGGGGGCCAGTGCGGAGCCCCTTGGGATGGGGTGCCCCGTCGGGGGCCGGGCGGTCGCAGGGCGGGCGCAGGGCTCAGGCCTGCCCCCTGAGCTACAGGAGCCCTGGGTGAGCCCCCTCCCTTGACATTGCAGGGCCAGCGCAAGTTCCTGATTTTATCGAAGGGCCTGCCGCTGGGAGATAGTCCCCTTGGGGTGACATCACCGCCCCAGCCCGTTTGCATAAATCTCTTGCGCTACAGGAAGTCTCTGGCCGGCTGGGGCAGGTGGTGCTCAAGGGGCTGGCCTGGGAGGCCATGGGGGCCAGGCCCCCTGCCCAGAGGAAGCAGGGACTGTGAGGGGCGGCTTTAGGGGCTGGGGTTGGGAGGCTGGGGGAGGGAGAAAGGCTGGTCCTAATACCTGGAGGCCTTCACTGCCCCTCAGGCCCTGCCGAGCCTCTCTAACCTCTAACCCAACAAAGGCCCACGTCTCTGACCCACACGTTGCCAACAGTCACCTCCTTGGGGCAGAGCTGGTAGGGGTGGCCTCCACTTTCTGGGGTCAGCATAGCTGCTGGGCCTGGCTCTTCCCTCAGGCCCCATAACTCCCCACTGAGCAGGTTTCACCTAAAGTAGGCCTGGATTCAGGGGTGAAGTCTTGGACGTTGAGCTCTTTCCTTTTCCCTCTGAGTCCCCCCACATGGGAGGAGAGTCCTGGAGTCTTACCCCCTCCCCTCCCAACCTCCCAAGTACTGCAATCGCTTCTGAATCTGGATTTCTCAGTTTCTCTCCCACACCCTTGCCAGTGCCTGAATGTCGATCTAGTTTACAAATGTTTCTCAACTGTCCATCTATTCATCTATTTTCCCACCCCTCTGTCCGTGTGTTTGTCCGTCCGTCCATCCACCCACCGTCAAGTCATCCCACACTCAGCCATCCATTCACTTACCCAGCTGTCCATTTGTGTCCCTTCGCCCATCAGTTTATCCACCCATCTATTTATCTACTTGTCTATCTGCCAGTCTGTATGTCCATCCATCTGCGACTAAATCACTCATCTGGATTTCCATATACTTGTCCACTGTGTATCTACCTACAACCTGGTCTCCATTGGTCTATCCACCCAACTACGTATCCACCTATCCACATATTCAACTATCCATCCACCCATCAGCCCACTCATTCATCTCCTTACCATCCACCCATTCCTCCATCCATCCATTCACTTGCCCATCCATCCATCCACTCATCCACCCATCTGCACTCTTCACTTAACCACTCATCCACATCCCCATCATCCATTCATCCTTCCATCCATCTACCTATCCATCCATCCATTCATCCTTCCATCCATCCACCTGTCCATTTACCTATTCATCCTTCCATCCATCCATCCACTCATCCTTCCATCTATCCACCTGTCCATCTACCTATTCATCCTTCCATCCATCCATCCACCTGTCCATTTACCTATTCATCCTTCCACCCATCCATTCACTCATCCTTCCATCCATCCACCTGTCCATCTACCTATTCATCCTTCCATCCATCCATCCACTCATCCTTCCATCTATCCACCTGTCCATCTACCTATTCATCCTTTTATCCATCCATCCACTCATCCTTCTATCCATCCACCTGTCCATCCACCTATCATCCTTCCACCCATCCATCTACCCACCCATCCGTCCATCTATTCATCCATGCATCCTTCCAATGTTAACTGAGTTCCAACTTCTATGCCGAATGCTGGGAAAATAGAAAAGTACTGTACACGAACCCTGCCTTCAAAGAGTTCCCGATTTTATCTAATGTGCAGAGGCATGAATAGAAGCATTTTGTCCCATGGCTCCCTGGTGAGTGCACTGAGCATTCAATTTCCTTGCTTGTGGGATCTAACCCATTGCTTTAAGTCCCCTCCCCACTAAGACTAGCCTGCCTCCTTCCTGCCAGGACATTCCCAGGCCTCCGAGTGCTTCTTCACTGGCAGCAAAGGCCAGCAACTCACAGCCCTGGGCTCACCATGAGATGGTCTTCATTTACATCTTCACTAATTTTTTGTTATTTTCTCTGGGGACTTTCCAAGTCCTCAGGGCTCCCTAGGAACCTGACCAAAGCTCCTCCCCAGGAGGAGGGGAGAGATAGCCTGTCTGGACACCGTCCTTGCTCGCCTCTTCCCCATCGAGAAGCCAAGCCCCGGCTGAACGGGGGTGGGACAGGGGGTATTGTCTGCCGCATGAGAACTAGGTCTTGCTGGATGTGTGTTTGTTCATCCATTTATTTGTGCGTTCATTTTTGTCCTGTTTGATTTGTTGATGTGTTCATTCACTTAATCACTAACTTTTTGTTTGGTGTCTTGAATGTAAAAGGGCGCGAGCGTGAATGAGGCCTGCCCGAGGCCACAGGAGCCCACAGGCCTGCAGAGAGCTAGGTGCCTCGTGAGAGGGAGCACCAGAGAGGGAGTGCCAGGTGTGTCTGGGAACAACCTAGTTGGTCAGGGTTCCGGGTAGAATGGCCTGAGGAAAGCATATAAGGGATTGGACATGTCTGGCTGAGGAAGTAGCCTGACCAAAGGAAGAGAACCAGGCAACAATGAGACAGCACCCCGGGGCAGAGAGCAAGGTGAACAGACAGTAAAGAGCCTGGAGTACCTAGCCAAGGAGCCCCGTTGTACACGAGGCAACTGCGGAACCTTTAGTGGTTATAAACAGGGGGTGTGGTCTCATTATCCCAAGCCTGGCCAACCTTTTTTCATTTTTGTTTTTTAGAATTATTTATTTATTTAATTCCATTTATTATTATTATCTTAATTTGACTAGCGAGAGAGTGAAAGGGAAAGTGAGAACGTGAGCTGCCAGATCTGGGACTTGAACCAAGGTCAGCCATGGTTCAAGCACCTTAACCACCCACTACGCCACCTGGCCCGGCCAATCTTTTTTGTTTTTTAGAATTATTTAACTTTATTTATTTGTTTAAATTTGACCAGAGAGGGACAGAGTTGGGAGTGGGGGGCGAGAGGGCAAGCCACCAGCTCTGGGATTTGAACCATGGTTCGCCATGTGGGAGTCCAGTGCACTTAACTACCATGCCACCTGCGTGCCCTAGTCTGGCCAGTCTTAAGGAAGCCATAACAGAGATCCCAGAGGGACCAGCAGATGGTGTACTGGCTTTGCTGCTGGACTCCCACATAGTCAACTGCGGTTCGAGCGTTGGACTTGGTGGCTCAAAACTCACATTGGGTGCATGGACACGTTTACCCAAAATCCCAAGAGGAGAATGGAGGAATCGGGATTGCGGTGTGGCCATCCCCCCTGGGGGGTGATTTCCCACTTTCTGTCTCTCTGGCAAGTGCACATGCCCTATAGCAAAAATCTCTAAAAAGAGAGAGAGAGATCCAGAGCCAAAAGTCTCCAGAAGCAGGTGGGCACAATGACTACCGCCCTCTGGGCAATGGCATCCTAAGTCCATTCACGCATCTACAAACCCTCCCCTGCCTTCTCCCACACACCCCCCTCACACACACACACACCAAGGTACAGCGCAGTCTTCCTCCTGAGGCCTCGCATCCCAGGGACCTGCCATTGTCCAAATCCTTGGGAATAGTAGCACCCAGATTCCAAGAAATTCTAAGTACAGCAGGAAAGATCTGATAATAGCTCCTTAAAGGGGGGATGTCCTGAATGCCTGGCACCATGCGGGGGGCTTCCACACGTGCGATCTCATGCAACCAAGACAGCCACCTGCTACACCCAGGCCCAAGAGCTCAGGGACCCGCCTGGGGTCACAGAGCTGGTCGGTGGCAATAGGGACATGAAATCCGACTCCTGGGGCTCCAGGGAAGGCAGGGTCTTCCTAGAAGAGAAGGAAGCAGAAGGAAGACAGAAGACAGACTGGGAGGCTGAGGCAGGAGAGGTTAGAAAGGGCAGGGAGGAGAGGGGAGGGAGGGAAAGAAACAAACCAGAAAGGCCAAAAGAGGGAGCACAGAGGAGTGAGAAAAGGGACAAGAGGCAAGGAGGGCGAGGGTGAGCAGGAGAGGGCGGAGAGGGAAAAGGGGGGGCAGGGGGACAGGCACAGGTGACTGGGAAGCCATGGGACCTTCCAGAAGTGCTTTCCCAGTCTCCTTCTCGCAGCAGAGCAAAGAGGGGCCCAGAGAGGATCTGCAATTTGCTGCGTGTCACCCGGTGAAGGCTGCCTGGGCTATGGCTGTCTCATTCCCATC